ATGAGATATTCAATGTTATCTTTATCAATATGATAATATTCAGGATTCTGTAACCACTTTAGCTGGTTAGACCAATCTGAATCTCTAACAACTTTATAGCCTCGCTGGTATAATATTTTAAAAATAATATTATATGTTATATTAGCTAATCTCAAATATAATTGATATTTCTTATCAAATATCCAATCAATATGAGAAGTTATACCTAAATACTTCTTATCATTAGAAGTACCATCATTCCTCACCATCTCCCAAATTATTTTTGCCAATGATTTGGGTCTCATTCTGTAACTCTGCTAAGCCTGTTGGATAAGTTTAGCATTGTTAAATAAGCGATATGCAACAGTTTTCCTACCTTCATGTGAATAATTATAACCATAATGATTCAAACCTCTACTGTATATAACTGAACATGTTAGATAAATCTCTTCAAACTCATTAAGACTAAGCGATGCCACTTTTTCTCCTTTTTCGTATTTCTTTGTACATGATTATAATGAATTTTAGTGGTAATATATTTATTCAGGTGATCATTAACACATTTGATGGTATTTTTACGAATAATTACCAAGGAGTCGTATACAGTACAATAAATATTAAATGAGCGTCTTCCAGCTTTAAATTTTCCATCTATATATTCTTTTTCAACCATTTGGATAAATCCATTTTTTGAAAAGTATTTTGGGTTATATTCAAGAAGTTTCTTAAACAGAGAATGAACATGAGAACATCATATTTCTGGTATTTTACCATTATACCTATATTGCAGGTTGTTCAACGCTTGTATTACTACAGGACTCAAACTATTAAATTTAGCTATTTTATGGATATAGGATAGCAGTTTAGTGATTTATAGCGTTTTTAGAAATTTTAATAATTTATAGTGATTTATAGCAAATATATTATAATAAAATACCAAATTCATTTTTATTCAATTATAAGCATATAGAGATTTATATAGGGTCTATATGCTAATTTTATATTTACACTTGATTTAGTCAAGAACACTGTGTATGAATCTCTCGTGATTAACAGGAATTAGCCAGATGTAACATAAAAATTCTGTATCACCCTAGCTTTCAGTCAGATTCTGGCACTTTCCCACAACTGTAGAATAGTATTTTAATGTTCTAGCTGTTTGTTTTTACAATTATAGCTGTATTAATAAGCAAATGTAATTAATAAATATCACTTGTAAAATGCGAAACACGTTCAAAAAACTCAAAGTAAAATCTTTATTTATCATTATGTAATATAGCTAATCCGTTAAGCAAAAAAAAAGTGAATATCATGATAATAAAATTTTCGCAGAGTTGCATGGGAGAACGCACTCTAAATATCATATAGTTGCATTAGGCAATTAGTCTGATATATTAGAACACTTATAGTCAGACCTAAAGCCCGTCTCGAAAGACAATGACTGCTCCTATTCTTTAGCTCCACTAATTGCTACCATTATCACTATTATTACTACTACTACCGCTATTACTAAAATCCCTCCTCTACTTCTCTTTCAATCTATTCTTCGATTTTATCTAAGAAAGTAGTTCTCAGAGTTTTTTAATAGTGGTAGAAACTTACCAAAGTCGCAGAGCTTAGACGAATTTCTTGAGAAATTATATTGTATAATTGTGTGTGGGAGCGTCCCTCCCTTCTTCTTCTTTGATTAAATAGGACTGTGAATTCCACCTATAAAGTTTGGATTTCATCAGGATATTCTGAATATTGACTGGCAGATACACAACCTGAAGAGAATCAAGACGAACCTAATGATAGATGATAAAAAGTTATTACCTCTTTATCTTTGAGAATATATGCAAAAAGACAGAATGATGAAAATTTCCTTATCTTACGATATACGATTCCATTCCGCCTCTCCTTTCATTTTTTGTATTTCATTATTTAACGCTAATATTGATTTTTCAAGTTTGGCGATCTGTGATTTTGCTGGAGTCGATAATAGATATTTGCATAGGAATAAGAACACCCTATAAGAAATATATATATTATGGTATTTCCTGAAAAAATGCCTCAAAATGTCTCCACTGTTAAGATACCTGGAGAAGTATCTCATAAATTACGACGAAAGCAATGAAAATAAGAAATAAGATAATGTCGAAAATGAATGAAATCATTTTTTATTGGAAAAGTTTATTAGGTATTTATTGATTTAGAAGTCGCGAAAGATATTTCGATAGTTTTATACTCAATAAAAAATTGATTTAATTGATTTGAAGCAGATTACTTGTTAGAATATTTTGAGGATAAAATAAATATATTACTTTTTTTTATTTGTTTCTCCTACTAGACGCCTCCAATATATCCAGTATTTTTATAATTATGATTCCTTCGCAGTTAAGAGCTATAATCATCGCAAAATATGAAAGTTCCTAAATCTTTGCTGGAAATCATATTGCCCAATAATTAACCGATCCAGATTTTCTAAATTACCCTGTATTAAATAAAAATTAGTATGTAGATTCCAGAGAAATCCATACCAATCACCTCCCACACAAGAAAAATAATTGACTTTCAACCCCTATTCTTCGGCAAGAATTTTATCAAATATCTTCTGTGTATTTCAGGTAATCGCTCTATATGACCGTTTAAACCACCCACGTAATTCAAAAAAAAGATACAATAATTCAATCTAAGCGAGTATGTAATTCATCCAATAATTCTCCTGTCTTTAGCACTTGACTTCATCATTCTGGCTCAGCAGGCGGATACCAGAGATATAATAGGACTCATCATTGGCGAGACTTTCTTTCATATCTTTCATCAGGATAATAATAACCTTCACTATATCTACTGTATCCATTGTATTTATTATATTCATCATCCGAATCATCTAACCCTTCAAAATTATTGTCATAACTATAGTCACTATCATCATATACCCTATTTAATTGCGAAGCAACCCCTTCATTTGTTTCTTTCACTGATTGAGGTATAGAAACATTATCAAAATATACATCTCCATAATCCTCAGCTGAAATTAAGGGTTTCATTTGTGTCTCCAATACCTCTTCAGAATCAGTAATAGAGTTATCTTATTCTTCAGGATTATCAGCAAATTTTATATTAGGCTTTTCGATAAAATGATCTATAATCGTTTGAATTTGAGTATTAGTAAATTTTGAAATTATATCTGCATTATATGTTTTGATATATTGAATCTTGTCCATTCCTATTCTTTTGAATAAATTGTCAATCCTTAAAGCTTTCTGTGTCTGCTTACATAAAGTTTTACGTTTGGTATCTAGTAACTGTTTAACAATAAAATTGTATATCTGACCTTTCGCCTTCTTTCCCTCAACTTTATTACTGACCATAAAATCTCTATATATGCTTTTGAATTCTCTAGCATAGAAACACTAATGTAACGTTTCTTCTCTATTGGCTTTGATTGCACTTATTTCTGCATCACATACGTTTTTATATAGACTAATAATATCTCTATTATCTGGTGGTAAGTGAGACATGTTAGAATAGATGGAGTTATTGAAGTCTTATTATTTGGGCGAACTAAGTTCGCTGAAATTTCAGTCACATGTTTTTTTTTCTTGAATAAAATCATTTCTCGAATCAAGTCCTGTTCGTTTTTTCACTCATGGGAAGTAGATGCAGTATTCTGAGAAATCGAAAGTGCCTCCTGGTTAGGTGATCTATACTGAAGCTTCTCCTCATACTTTCTTTGCCTGATCGAATCACTAACTCTTTTCTTATGTGTCTTATTCAAGGTTTCATCCATCATCTTGTCTTCCAATGATTTACAGATTTTTGACTTCTGACATACGCTGGAATTTGAAGTGATATCAGATATATCAGATGTGTCTTCTGGCATTTATTTAGATATATCATCTTCCAGTAAAGAGTTTGCAGAGGGTGATGCAGAGTATTGAATCTCTGATTCTTCAGATTTTGTCCGGCTATGTTCTATTTCAGGTGAGGGATCAGGAATAATAGTTTCTTCAAATGCAATAGCATAGTGTAAACTAGCATCCTCACTAATAGCTTGTGGAATATCTTTTGTAGAAGATACTCTCAGTTCATTAGTAATAACCTGAGTCTGCCTCTGTTCCAATTTTGTGACTCTATCTTTAAGCTTAGTATTCTCGATAATGAGTTCGGTAGTTTCCATTTTATTTTTTTTCTTCAACTCTTCAAACCTGATTTTAAGCTCAATGCTCTCTTCTATGACCTGTCTTAACTTCAAATTTTTAGCCTCAATCTCAGCATATTTCTTTCTAAGTTCAGGAATTTTAGCATTCTTCTTTCTAAAATTAGCAATCTCGACTAAGAGCTTCAAATTTAGTTTTTTCAAAGAATCAATCTTAGACTGTGTGTTTGCCATTTTTTAAATATAATATAAATAAGTTCAAAAGTGAATTTAAAAAAATATCATACAAAAATTAATTATCGTAAAAATACTATTTAGATCTGATTGCTTTATTGATACAATATAAAAAATATATGTGAAGCAGATGCTAATTACTCACTATTTCTTAGTAATTTTTCTTGTACGCGTCACTTCTTATTTTCAGATTCATCACATGCTAATACCTTATTTTTCAATAACTCTATAACTATACTGATTACCTGTTTTATATCTTTTCTTAGACTCTGATTCAGTTCCTAATTTCTCACCTAAAAATAAATCAAATAATTAGCAAAGTTAGAATGAAGATCATGACAAGAATTGCTCTATGAATCCATTCCATAATAGAAAATTTTTCTTATACCAGTCGACACAATCTCATATAAATAGTTATAATCCTTAGCCTTAAATGCTTCGTTCGCAGTTCGCTTCTTCTTGTTCATGTGAAAGGAACTCTCGAGTTATTTTATATTTTGAAGGTAACCAATCTTAATATTTCGTGATTTTCCCTCAATGATACACAAAAAATTCTCCATCCCAGTTATAGCGTAATCAACTCTTCCAAATGCGTATAATACAGATGAAATAAATTCGTAACGCATTAGGAACTATTACGAAAAAATATTAGCCTATCTTCAGTCACTTTGCCAAGAAATTTTAGCAAACTTGGTTCGCCCAAATAATGCCAAGAAAAAATATCACATACCTGGATTGAATTGCTTGATGCTCATTATATCCACACTATTAACTTTATATTTGCGAAGTACTGTACATCTTTTAATTCTTCCAGTGTTTTGTATGACGAGAAACTTCGTAATTTTTGTTTTGATATTTCTTCAATAAAATCCGCTCTGCAGTGAATAAAAAAATCTAATTAATCGAGTTTGATCATTCATACCATTTAACTCAACGCATTTCCATAGAATAGAAATACTGCATCTGTATCACAATTGGCAAACAAATAGAGTGAGGTAGAGAGATTTATCTATTAATAAGAAATGTAAAATATGTTCTAATAATTCCTGTATATTAAAAATACTTGTATGCACTATGCGAAGCGCCTCTGGCTAAATAATGTGTATTATATGTTATATCTTTAATCAAAAAAATAAATACAAAGCTCAGGACTAGCTAGATCATTCAAACTCTGATTCAGTTTCAGAGCTAGAAGATTCTGAATCAGAACAGCAGTAATCTTTATCAAAATTTTCGATATGAATATTTGGATTTAGCTGGTCCATGGCTTTTTTGCTAATATTTTTACATCCTTTCAAATCTAGAGATTTTAAATTGAACAATTTCTTCGATAGTTTTACTTATAATATTGCAATAACTAAGGTTGAGATGTTGGAGCTTTGGGCAGGAACGTATGACATTACAAATTAATGGTTCACTAACAAAATCACAGCAACATAGATTGAGGTATTCTAATTTATGACAAGTATAAGCCAATGCTTCAGTAACCTTATCAGTGATATCATTACAGCCAATCTCTATATGTCTTAAATTCAGAAATCTTTTGATAATAACTATAATTAATCTATCATCCCATAAAGCCATGGCATCACAAAAGTTGAGATACTCTATATTGAAACATCTTCGCATTAAAGTATTAGCATCTTTAACATTCCTCTTACTATATGCAATATCATATTTTCATAAATTTGGGCATGAGTTTAAGATGTAACTTATAGATTTATCTGTGATCTGACGTGCTTCGGCAAAATAGAACTCTTGTAAATCATGAAAATTTTATACGATTTCAAATAAGGATTTATTAGTAATATTTTTGCAGTAAAAAATATTTAGATATTCTAATTTATGGCATGATCGTATGATCGCACATAAGCCTTTATCGGTTATTGCTTGAGCATCCTACAAATTGAGATATCTTAAATTAGAATATGATTCCGCTATTATAAATAGTGCTCTATCACTAAAACTTATACTATTTTTAATATTTAAATAAATTATATTCAGAAATGTATTCACAATACTTTTTATTTATTTATCCGAAAGTGAATGGTAATAAGTAATTTCTAGATGGGTTGTATTCAAAACATGAGCTGGCTTATTCTTTTCACACATTATTTTTACAAATATTTCCTATTGAGTACGATTTCTCTCACTATAAGTATATTCATCTGGGAAATAGTATCCATATATCAGATCATTCTCCTTTAGTTCGATATATTTCCATAAGCTAAGAATAGCACATCTATACCAAAATCGATTAATAAATAGAGCAGGGTAGAGAGATTTATCTATCGCTAAAAAATGTAAAACTCGTTCTAATAGTTCTGGTAAATAAAAGATGCTTGATTGCATCATGTGAAGTACCTTTGACTAAATATTCTGTTTATATGTTGTATCTTTAACAAAAAATAAAATTACGCAGGTAATGTTCACTGATTCGGACTATTAGTCAGATTGAGTTATAGCTCGATTTAACTATCAGCTGAATTAATATGAGATCGTATACTTAAGTGTACCTATTGTTAGTGTTGAATTATGCATATTCAAGTTTACACTATTTTCCCACATTTATAGTGAACCTAAGAGTATTTCAGGAAATTGATCAGGCCAATCTGATCCAGTAACTATGAATTCAGTGAGTATACTTTTATGCTTCTCATCAGCATTTAAGATAATACGTAGATTACCCTTTTCTAATGTAAAATAAGACTTATCTAAAAACCTGTTTACTCTAGGATTACTATTGTCTTTTGCGTATGCTATTTTTATAATTTTTTCACTAATGTAATTTGCATTAATGCATATGTCAATCTTAAATCAAAAATCTATGAGAACTATTCTGGACTGTTCAAGATTTACCTCTCTTTTCTATATATCATTTATACTGCTAGCATGTTTTAGATCCTAGTCTGGAAGATACTTTAGAATAAAAGGTATTAATTCTGGTGTAAGTTGATCAAGTAAATTAGCTGTATATATTTTATATGGTTAGAAGATTTTTTCAATCGAAAAATAAGGTTATTGTTGCACAATCTGTGGCTTAGCAAATTCTTCTGAGCTGATGATTACTGTTCCAAATCTTCTTCTCAGCCGTGTCCTTCTTTGTTGCTTATGAGGAATAGCTTTTCGCTTTCTTATCGTCTCAACTGAATCAGATTCTTCAAAAGACTCAGATGAATAGGAGAAATCTTTACCTTTTTTACCAATCAGCAAGAGAACTATTTTTTGTATTAAGTCGACCACAGTTTCCCTATCCACACATTCGTTCAGATCTTCTAATTCAGTCTCTAAGAACTTTACATCTCTTTCTAATCTTTTTACTCTCTTTTCTAAAATGTTGTATTGGGAATGATAATCTTCTAATTGTTTTTTTAGTGCCCTATTTTTGCCAGAAAGTGCACTATATACTTCTGCATTTTGCTTATTTAGTCTAAATATCTGGGCTAATTTCTTCGTATATCTGATAACTTCCTACTCGCTGGATATATCAGATAAATGATTTTGATCAGTTATTATTTTCGTGATATTTTATATATGCTATATCTTAGGCGAACGAAAAAATAAATTTAAAAATGATATCCCAATCCTCTAACTAATATATATGATTAGTTTTCATCGAAGAGCTCAAATGCTGTTGCCTGATCATAAGGCTATCCTCTTTTTCAAAAATTGACTATTATATAGTTTTACGCTGGGAAGGAATGGTTGTCTGGCGAATGTCGAAGGGCTTGACTGGCGATGGTCATAGCATCTGATAAATTCTTCACACTATTCAATACGACTACAAATACTGCCCCTAATTTACGCAAATAGCTAAGAAGAAGTGGTTTATCAGTTTCAGGAAGAAATCTATCTTTTTTCAGAAATGTATTAAACCATTTAACTCCTAGCACTCCTGGATCCCTCAACTGTCCAGAAGAAATTGCATTCTGAATCCAAGTAAGGAGAAGTTTAGCCTGCTCTTCATCTTTTTTTAACGATCTAAATATTCGAGGATTATCCTATTGGCCTCAGTTTTTTGCGTATCCAGTTATACCTCTGTTAGATATGTGCAAGTCTTTAATTTCAGTGGGACGGACGTAGAGCATTATGATTACATCAGCTAGGGCTTGCATATCGGGTATATTAGACACATCATAGAAATTGAGTCTTGCCTTAACCGATTCTAACAAGAAGTGATCTGAAAAATCAATTCCTTCATTTTCACGTTGATCCCTATGCTCCTTTTGAATCTTATTAGATGTGCAGGTTGTTTTTTCGTCTAATGTAGTAGAGATTATTTTCTGAAGCATTAAGTTTTCGCAATTCTCTTTGAAGCCTACTAAGACAGGATGTGGTGACGATAGGGTTAGGGCATTATAGTTAAAGTCTTGGCTATTACCTTTATTTCTTTTTTACCAAGATTATCTCAAATAATACATTGGACTATACTTTCGATGGTTTCTCCATCTGAGATGATATCAGATACTTAACATATATTAACATCTCCTCTTTCTTTGAGGATTACCCAACTTTTACTTTGACAAATTCTCTGATCAGAGATTAGTACAAATGCTTACTTTCTGTTAAAATTATACCCTTTTTGAAAGCATTAACGACCCTTGTCTCTTTTTAGTTTATCTATCAAAAGCTCGAGTAATTCTGAAGCGTGCTGACTAAGTTCTTCATCACTCATATCTTTACTAAGTTTGTGCTTTGTAACGTATTTTGTTACAATTGCAAACATAATTGTGTAGATATAGCTTGTAAAGTAACTACTAGATTATGTGCAACCCTTAGGTTATTCTATATCTAAAAAAGTTCAATTTGAAAAATATTCCACTATTTATCTACCTATGATCGGTAGGCAAAAAGAATATTATAACTTATTGCGAGCTCTCTATAAGGCCACTGGCTCTAGTTAGAATATCTTTTATACATATTTAAAAATTGTGAGTAGATAGGATATGTGAAAAAAAAATAATAATTTGGAATTTTATATCGCCTAGTTAGCTAAAAGGCGCTGTGCATAAAGAACGAAAATTCCATTTTTACTAATATTAACCCACTCTTATTCGCTCTTTACCAAAGCATACCATTCTCCTGAAGTATGCTTACCGTTTTTCCTATTTCTCATCAGTATCGAGCCACGAGGATGTAATTCCTTTATTCTCAAGTCCACAATAGATAATTTCTTCTCCTATCAATCTTTCTCATATCATCATGTCCATATATTCATTGAGATCTTCTTCTACTTCTTTTGCATAATCACACATTTGTGAATCCATTTCCATTCTATTACAGAATATAACAGAATCAAGCCTGTCTTTCTTGGTGATACTTATGAAAACATCTGGATCTTCATCAAGTTCGACTGCTTTTTTTCTGAGATACTCTTCTCGCTGGACTCTGAACAGAAGTATGACAGACGATACTTCATTGATAGGTTTGGAAGAATCAGTTGGGGTCTCTTTAGGGGGCAAATTCATTACTTCATTAATAGGCTTGATAGATTCAGAAAGCTTGTTATTCTCAGGTTTATTAATTACTGGCTCGAATAGTTCAGAAGCCTTAGTAGTTTTAGATGTCCTGACTGGAGCTTCAGTTATTTTTTAGGGAATAATTTCTGACACATTGAATATGGGTA